TCTATGAATACCGACTCTAATCTCAGGGTTCTGACTTTAATCTATGAATACCGACTCTAATCTCAGGGTTCTGACTTTAATCTATGAATACCGACTCTAATCTCAGGGTTCTCACTTTAATCTATGAATACTGACTCTAATCTCAGGGTACTGACTTTAATCTATGAATACCGACTCTAATCTCAGGGTTCTGACTCTAACCTATGGATTCTGACTCCCCCCCCCCCCCTCCCCCCATATTAAACCCAAAAAAATCAGGTAACTTTTTTTTTTTCAGTGGCCCTAATCCTCTTCTGTACACCTGAGTAAAGCAGCAGCAGCAGCAGGATAAAAACAAACCATCACTGCTTTTGGCTTTAATGCATAGAGGCCCCCCATCTATTGGAAACTTTCTGGATGCGCCCCTGTTCATGATGGGCGCATCGGTCGCTCCCGATCATCCTCCTCCGGTTCTATCCGAACCGAACCGTTCATGTGTTGTTTTGCTGACTCCGTGGCGGGGCTGCAGAGGCAGAACAAGCAGCCACTTTTCACGCCCTGAATAATCAGCAAAACACCATAAACTGTTTCAGAACCGCAGGCAGCGAACAGCAGGTCGGACACATTGCGACACTTTGTGCACAGAATGACGGTACTTGACTGAAGCTGTCCTGTTCGTGAACCGGTCCGCTGGCACCGACAGCCAGCTCATCCCGGGTTATTTGGGTCGCAGCGGAGAGGTGGAGTGATTAGCATAGTGAGCTAGCCGCCAAAGCCCCTCCTAGCAGCCGTTGGTTAGCAGCTGTCGCTCGCTAGCGAGCCTCTCATATTAATAACATCACTTTCAGAGCAGAGACAGCAAACTACATGACTTACCTCGGCTCAAACAGTCCGCTTCACCATTTAACTCCAAAAAAAAAAGTGAAGCACGAGCCAAGCGGTGCGTTTAACAGCCGCCGAACAATAAGGCAGCAGGATGGCGGTGCCCCGCGCGACCCCTTTCCCAAGGATTTCTAATCAGAGGCGAATTATTTGCCTCTCCGCTTTGTCTGTCTGACAACAGCCATATTGACAAGTTCCACCTCAGAGGAGCGCAGAGGGAACTGTAGTTTTACTCCCGCTAAGGCCTTTATAACAGGCGGCGGCGTTCTCCCTGATAAAGACTACAAATCCCTGGAAGGAGAGCGAGAGGGAACTGATGGCTCGCGGATCTCCAGCTGTCAGAGCGAGCAGAGGCGGCGCAGCATCTAGGGGCCACAGCAGCCGCTGCTAGACAGGGGCCAACAGGGGATAACAGGGGCCAACAGGGCCAGTGCCCCTGCTAAACATATTAATAAATACAGTTCTTACCACATTTTTTTTCAATTGTGTCTTTTATTTCCCAGTTATATCATTTATTGACTTTATTGATCTCTCACAGTGGAGAAAGTTACATGGGGTGGAGTGCATGGGGGTATATACAGTATACAAGTTCCTGGGGGCCCCCAAAAAACTCCTTTTAAATCTATGATTAATATATCTGTTTCTTATTTGTGCACATTAATTATGTTTTTGTAAAAGAGAAATACTTTTAAGACAGCATGAAAAGTCAGCCGAGTACATTGCCAATATGAACATTTCATTTCAATTCAGTTTATTATATATGTGGACATGATATGATTGACAGGAAAATATATAAAAGAATACAAAGAATCTTAAAAGAAATTTACCCTGATATCATCAAACCATAAATCTATATTTTTAACCTTTCTCTAGACCAAGGAGTTGTGCCTGTAGAGTTAAAAATAGCAAAAATTACACCAGTTTATAAAGAAGATGCTATGCTATTTTTAACTCTACAGGCACAACTCCTTGGTCTAGAGAAAG